GTTAATTGCTAAGAATTAAATGAGCATATTATGGGATGTGGGGAGGTGGGAATAAGTGTGTGAGTGAGTGTAGGCAAGGCAGTCTTGGCTCTTGGCTTTTCAATTGTTCTCAACCAGGGCCCTCTCTGGATGCAGTCTGCTTCCCCTGCCACACATAGCCTCCTTCAAGACCTTGGGTGAGTGCAGCCCATTCCTCGGCCTACTGACAGCCATGTCCCCTCCTGAGGGGGAGGACATGAGGAAGGTTCCCTGTGGATTTTACTGGAACAGAGGGATAAGAACACGTGTTGGGGGCAGGGCAGACGCACCTGTGGCAGGGGCTTAGGATGAACAGTCTACAGCGCCTCTCCTGGAGAGATCCTTGGATTCTTTACGGCGCCTGCTTTTCTTAGGAGTGGAGCCGGAGAAAGGAGGTGATAGCAGCGAAGAGCCACCATTTACTGAGAGTTTACTATATGCTGGGCATATTCTCAGTGGCCAAATGCATTGTCATTTAATCCTTAACAAGAATACCACTTTGTGGGTATTAAGTATCAGAGAGGCTGAATAACTGGCTTAAAGTCACAAAGCTAGTAACTAGTTAAGAAAAGACTTGAGACTGGGTGCAGTGGGTCACACCTGTAATCCCAGCACTTTGGGAGGCCGGGGCTGGGCTGGGGGGGATCACTTGAGGTCAAGAGTTTGAGAGCAGCCTGGCCAACATGGTAAAACCCCGTCTCTACTAAAAATAGAAAGATTAGCCGGGCATGATGATGTGTGCCTATAATCCCAGCTACTCGGGAGGCTGAGACAGGAGAATGACTTGAACCCAGGAGTTGGAGGTTGCAGTGAGGCGAGATCACGCTCCTGCACTCCAGCCTGGTGACAGACTGAGACTCCATCTCAAAAAAAACGAAAAAGTCCTGAATCCAATTTGTTTGACTTGCTTGCCTCTGCCCTTAATGACACCAAGTTTCTGCCTCTATCTTTCATTTGTTCAAGTGTTGGAGTGTCCATGGTGTTCAGGCATGTTTTAACAAGGCTGTTTCTTTGCCTGACCAAACTTTAGTCAGCCTTTTGAATCTTTTGCTAGGCCCATTTATGTACTTCCTTGTAAAATTCAGTTTTAGCAAAGAACACAGCTGAGTCAGTTTAGCCAGAAACCCTCATCTTTCACATCTGATTCATTCCTCACGCTCCCCATGCCCCCAGGTGATGTCCGATCACCCCGGCTCATCTTCAGCAAGAATCCTGTTAGGTTGGCTGAGCCAGAATCTCCTTCCCCTGATGTTCCTCTTGGTGATTTTCTGTGTGTTGACCCCACCTGTTCCTTGGCTGTGAATTTCCACTTGCCCATGCAGTGTTAGGAGTTGAACCTGATCTGTGTCCCGCTGCAAGGCCCTGCTGCCATGGTCCCTGCACCTAGCATGGTGGTGCTTCCTTACTGTATTCTAACAAGTAGCACCAAATAATTTTGTCTTTAACAGGTTCTAGGTGCTAAGGATGATAACAGTGAGCCATAGGATAAAAGCTTGTACCCCCATGGAGCCTCTATTCTAGCAGGCGGAGTTTCCCACCTTCTTTCACAGTTTCCTCTAGTACATCCCTCCAACCTCATATATGTCATATAAATGTCACACTCCTTCCCCGGAATGCCCCTTACATGACTCTTCCTTTTCTTTCTTCTTTTTTCTTTTCTTTTCTTTTTTTTTTTTTTTTTTTTTTTTTTGAGCTGGAGTCTTAACTCTGTCGCCCAGGCTGGAATGCAGTGGCGCGATCTTGACTCACTGCAACCTCCACCTCCAGGCCAGGCGATTCTCCTGCGTCAGCCTCCCAAGTAGCTAGGATTACAGGCATGCACCAACACATTCAGCTAATTTTTGTGTTTTTAGTAAAAAGGAGGTTTCACCATGTTGGCCAGGCTAGTCTTGAACTCCAGCCCTCAGGTGATCCACCCACCTTGGCCTCCCAGAGTGCTGGGATTACAGGCATGAGCCACTGTACCTGGCTGATCCTCCTTTTCCCAAATACTAGAGAGAGGAGTTTCTTGTCTGTTGGATGTTGGGGTATTGCTGTCTCCCACCCTGATGTCCCCCATAGGGACAGAGAGATCATGTCCAGACAGCAGGACAGCCAAGGTGTAGAGTGCCTTCTGTGGGGCTTGGACATTCCCCCAGGCCTCACACCTGGCCTTTCCAGACAGATTATGTCCCATCTTTCCGGGGAAGGGTCCTCCTGGCTCACGCTGAATTACATTGCCCACCCTGACTCCCCAAAATTTGTTTCATAGGTGGGAAGGAGCAGAGGGGACGCAATCAGCCATAATGTCAGTTCTTCCTAGGAGCTGACCTTAGGGCTGGTTTCAGAGAGGATCTTGTATTCCATTTATTTTAAAATAGTGGGGTAATTTATTATATTTCCTTTGGAGTCTGGTTCAGGCCCTACAGATAGAAGACAAGAGAAGCCTGGCTGAATGTTACTACTTTCAGACCAGATCCAGGGACCTGGAGAGAGATGCCTCCATGTGATCAAGGAAAGATAGGGGAGAGTGCTTCCCACTGCGAACCGCGTATGCGGGGCTAGAGAGGCTGTGCACACCTTACGGCCCTGAGCCCGGCTGGGTAGAGGGCTTCTTTGGTCGAAGTTGCCATCATTTTCCTGATGTCAGGGATGGGAGGCAGAGTTGCTGTCGGTGTCAATTCCAGCCTTTGTTGGATAGCTGCCTGGCGAGGAAGACAGTGGTCTGTGCATAAAGTCCTGAAAAGAACACAGGGACTTGGGGCCTCAGTTTGATTCCAGATCTGTCCATGTGGCTTTGGGGGAGTTCTTAACCTCTGTTTCCTTTTTGGGCAATAGAAGACAACCCCCATGTCAGAGCACAGTTGTAACATATGTGAAATGCCTTTTACTGCACCTGACTCAGAGCAGATATCCTGCAGAGCCGGCACCCGGGTTGCGCTCAGTGGCTTCTGTGAAGCCTGGCCTGTGTGGATCCCCTGCCTTTACAGTGGGCCATGGAAGCCCAGATGGCATGCGATTGACTGCTTGGTCTTTTATAGCGTGTGATTGGCTGCTTGGCATTTGTTTTATAGCATGTGATTGGCTGCTTTGTGATTTTGTTTTGTTTTGTTTTGTTTTTAAAGACAGAGTCTCACACTGTCGCCCAGGCCATAGTGCAGTGGCGTGATCTCAGCTCACTGCAATCTCTGCCTCCTGGATTCAAGGAATTCTCCCTCAGCCTCCCGAGTAGCTGGGACTACAGGGGTGCGCCACCACGCCCAGCTAATTTTTTTTTTTTTGTATTGTTAGTAGAGATGGGGTTTTATCATGTTGGCCAGGATGATCTTGATCTCCTGACCTCGTGATCCGCCTGCCTTGGCCTCCCAAAGTGCTGGGACTACAGGCATGAGCCTCCGCGCCCGGCTGGCTGCTTTGTGTTTTATAGTGTGTGATTGACTGCTTCGTGAGCCTTTTCCCTCTTTCTCTTTCCACTCCTCCCCACACCTAAGTGGACCCAGGTCGACTTAGTTCTGCCTCCTTTGCTCCAGGCCTTCAGTGAGGGTGAGGCTGGGAGAGCAGGGTGGAGTAGAGCCGGGCTGCTGAGATGCTGCACACAGGCCTGTGGGCGGGATGCTGCGGATTTCCTTGGAGATTTCTCAAGGAAATAAAAACACAAGGTTGTTGGAGGGGTCTGACGAGGAGAGTGGGGTGCTGGGGAGGTTAAGGGCACCTGCCCAGTGTTTACCTATTCTAGGTGGTAGGAATCGGCCACTAACAAAAGGTTGAATCACTTAGTCCAGTCCTGTCTCTGTACAGAAAAGGAAACCAAATCCTTTTCCAGGATGGGTGGTCCAGTAAGCTTGGAGCCGGTGCTGCAGTCTCATTCCCATTCCCATTCTCATTCTCATTGCGGTTCACTCTACCCTGGGCGTTCATGCGTCGCATAGCAGCGCTTGAGTTCTAAGTCATTTGGCTCTTGCGGGTCACTTTTAAGAAATTTTAGGCCAGGCACAGTGGCTCACACCTGTAATTCCAGCACTTTGGGAGGTCGAGGCAGGCGGATCACTTGAGGCCAGGAGTTTGAGACCAGCCTGGGCAACATGGCGAAACCTGCTCTCTACTGAACATACAAAAATTAACTGGGCATGGTGGCGTGCACCTGTATTCCCAGCTACTGAGGAGGCTGAAGCAAGAGAATCACTAGAACTTGGGAGGCAAAGGTTGCAGTGAGCCAAAATTTTGCCACTGCACTCAAGCCTGGGTACCTGAGCAAGACCCTGTCTGGGAGAAAAAAAAAAAAAAAGAAATCTTAAATACTGGTTTACTAAAGGCAAGTTAATAGATTGTTCTCTAGTTATTCCGTAACAGAAGAGTGTTTCGTTTAATGGCAACCCGGAGCAGTCATTTTATTCCTTGGCAGTCATGGATTTGGTGTTTGACCAGAACAAGGTCATCTTTCTTCACTGTGCCCTGAGTTTTTCCTTTCAGGGATAGTGACTGATAGGATCTGAACAGAAGCAGATTGTGTCATGGAAGGAAGAGCATCATACAGGGGCTCTTAGCTCTCAGACAGCTCACTAAATGATGGACCCCGGGTTCAGATCCCTGTCTTCTGATCCTGATCCAGTGCTCCCGGCAGTACCACCCTGCCTATTCACAAACAGTGAATGTGCCTGAGGTGACCTCAGTGAAGAGCCACCACTTACTGAGAGTTTACTGTCACCTGCACACTGCAGGGTCTCGGGTGACCTTTCCTTACAGTCTGGGCATTCATTTCTGGCTGTGGAGGAACTTGTTGAGTAAGGGCAGTGCCACTTTGAGACAGCGGAGGAAGTGGCCCAGCCAGGAAGCCCGGCCACATCACCAGATGCCCAGCTGGAGAGAGCACTGCCTTGGCCCTTCTCCCAGGAGACCTGTGGTAGGCGACTGGCCAGGGTGGAGCTGACAGTGGGATTTCCTCTCCTGTTCTTTATGGGATGGTGAGTATTTAAAAATGTCTCACGAAGCATTCCTTGGGTAGAGGCTGTGGTGTGCCAGAGTTCATGGCTTTAACCTCTGAGCCTCACCAAGCAGCGGCATCATCGGGGCTGCCCCCTGCAAGACATCTGTCACTGGTGTGACTCCTCCTCTGAACCTCACCAAGCAGCAGCGTTGTCAGGGCTGCCCTCTGCAAGACCTCTGTCACGAGTGTGACTCCTCCTCTGAACCTCACCAAGTAGCGTTGTCGGGGCTGCCCTCTGCAAGACCTCTGTCTCGATTGTGACTCCTCCTCTGAACCTCACCAAGCAGCGGCGTTGTCGGGGCTGCCCTCTGGAAGTCATCTGTCACGAGTGTGACTCCTCCTCTGAACCTCACCAAGCAGCGGTGTTGTCGGGGCTGCCCCCTGCAAGTCATCTGTCACGAGTGTGACTCCTCCTCTGAACCTCACCAAGCAGCGTTGTTGGGGCTGCCCTCCGCAAGACCTCTGTCTCGAGTGTGACTCCTCCTCTGAACCTCACCAAGTAGCGGCGTTGTCGGGGCTGCCCCCTGCAAGACATCTGTCTCGAGTGTGACGACTCCTCTGAACCTCACCAAGTAGCGTTGTTGGGGCTGCCCTCCGCAAGACATCTGTCTCGAGTGTGACTCCTCCTCTGAACCTCACCAAG